TGTTATCTGAACTTTTTCAGTAGTTGGTATTAGAGGTTTCAACGGCTCTATGAGCCCCCACTCGCTTGGCAATACCAGTATAGGAAATGAAAATTGTTCATTTTATTCCAAACATTGCTTCAGTGCGCGAAGAAGATAAATATTTCATCTATGAGTGCTATTATATATTTTGAAGTATATATATTCTGCAGTAACAAGTGATAGTGTTCAGAAACAATTTTATTGATATCTACTTCTGTACAAATTGTACGATGATTCCGAATTCCTAGTCCATATTCGAAAGAATATTTCAGTATGGATACTACGGAGAGATTGACTCGTATGAATCCAAGGGAAAGGGCCAACGTAGTTTCCGTTCTATTTTGGGTGTAAGGAAGTATTCTCTACCTTGCTTCATGCATGTATACATGCTTCCTAGTTTGCACAGCCCAATTTCAACGTGTTTGTGCTGTTTTCGAGATTAAAGATATCACGATGAATGAAAGTGTTCTATTTGGAAAATTATATAAACTCATTTCTGCTGGTTTTTCTTATCGTTTATTAGAATGAATTGGGCGCGCTAGCGGACGCCCATTAATCCACTTAATCCCTTGGGATTACAATCCTTTGGGGACCAATTTCTGTGCAGTATCTCCTAAATGTAATAGCAATGCAGAGAAAAAAGTATCGATAGTGTCTTGTACACTGAAAGAAATTTCGACATAATATCACAAAACAAATTTTTTGCGCCGAATATCTCATCTCTTGAGGATAAATTTCTTAGGATAAGAATTCCGGGTAATGTGTCAGACACTGTCAGATTTCGGTGAAGTGTTCATGACGTGAACATGAACATTCCATGATAAAGTGAGAGTTTCCTGTCACAAGAAATCGGGTTTTCCTTGACAGAAGATGAGAAAATGACGAAAACTATTAAAATCTTCGATTTAGTGAATCATGTATCATAGACTTCCATATTGAAAGAATAGAGAGTTTATGCAGAGGAAACCCTCAGATATTAAAAAAATATAACCGTCGCTTACGCTCAATTGCGTTGAGTTCGATGGGAAGCAATGTCTTCTTTTCCTTTTGTCAAACTATTCTTGTCGTTGAAGGAAAATTATTTCATTTCGAAACAAAACATCATCTTTTCATCTTTTCATCTAAACATTTTAAAGTCTTCATCAACATCGCAGTATACCCTAACCGGGTTGAAGCGATGTAAAATAACGATTAAAAAAAAAAATCTTTTCATTCATGAACTTCCTCCTTAGCCCGAAGAGCACCGATTTCTTGTCTGAAACGTACCATAAATTGATCAGAGATGTATGTGATATTTTTCGTTCAAGAAATAATTTTTGTGATGTTATGTCGATTTTTCTCTTAGTGTACGATTTGACAGAGGAAATTGCCGCTTTGACTACTTTTGGCTGTCTAGTTTAAGACTTACCGCCGGACTTGAAAATTTAAGGGGAATTACGGGAAAACATTTAATGATTGAAATTTAATACTTGTCGTTATTGAGGAAGAATCAGGAAAATACTTATTAATTTTTCTTCCTTTACCGGAAAATGAAAGAGACTGCCCGCTAGGAAGTATTTATCGCTGTGGTCATGAGGAACCCCCAGGAGCCTATTCTCGAGTTTGAAGTGAACGGATTTGTGAACGGAAGTGGCTCCGTTCCCGTTTCACGTTGGGGAATTAAAGTTTTCGTAAACGAATCCTAGATCCACATGTGAATGAATTCCGTTGACGGATGTCGTTTTCGATTCACACGTGAGGATACTCGTATGAAGATACAGTTAACCTCTTCTGGGGAACGAAATATTAAACGTTAATTGTTTAAATTTATTTATTATAGTTCAATTCTTTGCTTTACAATAAGTTGAAAAATGGATAATTTGCGGAGATATGGACTTATTGTTTCAAAATTTTATTAAAGATTCTTTCTCTACGTGCAGACTCTCACGACGTGTAAAGTTCGCGACTTGGGAATCAGTGTGCGAATTAAAAATGACCTCCGTGAACGAAGTTAATTCACATGTAGATCTAGTATTCGTTCGCGGAAACTTTCGGTCCCCACCGAAATGCATGAACGGAGCCACTTCCGTTCACGAATCCGTTCACCTCAAACTCGATAATAGGCCCCCAGTACTCTTTTTTTGTACGGGATCGGCCGGGTGTGCTACGTGCGCGCCTTCTCATCTCACGTAGTAGCACTTCGGCTCTAGCCTTACGGTTACGCTTCCTCAAGATTTTTTAAATATGTCGGGATCGATTTCCGTTCTCCTTTTCCCGTTAGGATGGAAAACCCTCCAACCAGTTTTCCGAAACACATGTATGAAACACTGGTCCTTCATACCAAAATAGGGTATGAATAAAATTTGTCTTATAATCCAATTTCCGATTATCGCAATAAGGAGTGTTGTGTATTTTACAATGTCATCAATGTAATTTATTATTGGCACTAAGGGGGAGATTTAACGATAATGTAGATATTGAGATTCATTAATAGTGATTGGAGAGACTCTCAGGGCATCTCCACTATACTATGATCTTAATTAAACTGTGGAAACGCTTCAGCTTTAGTTGAGGTCACTACGCCAAACACGAGCAAATACTTTTGTACTGCCCAGCAAGAGAACGACGGTATACACATTATCTCCGTCTTTGTCTCATTTGGTACGCTTGTTGATATATTCATGTCGTCGATGTATTATTGCGTACTTGGATTTCAATTCAAACAGACAGTTGTTGATCAAGAACCAGTACTTGATAATCATTAAATTTGTGATTAGATTTAGTGATTACTTTGACAGTTACTAACAACAATGACTACCACACATTGGAAAACAAATGAATCTATACGGATTATTAGTTAAAGAAAGACAATGAGTGATAACTTTTACAATCGTTTTTGCTCAAATCTTCCGTCTCTGCGTGTAAAAATGATGACTCCAGTCGCACCACTTGAAAAAACAAGCAGGGGTTCGAGCTTTTTTGGCCGAAGCCATCTGACCGTTACTTTATGTGTTATAACTCTTTTTCTTTTTTTCATTTCTACCAATCCCATTGGTAGTAAGCTTCCGAATGGATCTGTAATAATACTATTAAAGAAAGAAAAAAATGGAAACACCAAACCCGCTCAGATTAGATATCAACAATGTCAGTGGAAATAACTGCCTCCTGATGAAAAAACAGACAAACGGAAATATCTCGAAAACTTTGTATGAACGGGTATATATGTTTTGATTGATTCGGATAGAAGGCATCGAGACGAATATTTTGACAAAAAGAATTGAAATCGGTTGACTAGCTTCGAAGATATTAGCGAAAAACGATTTAAAAACGAATAGCTTTTTCTCAAAAACTATTTGATTAATCGGACTGAACTTTTGCATAGAGTTAGTCCTCGTTAAGGTCTATAATTTGACAAAATTTCAGATCTTTACCAAATTTTCAATTTTCCAAAAATCGACCACCGCAAAGGTAGCAATGGACATTGACACCGACAGACATGGTCGCCAAACTTCGTATTTTTACGTTTCAGACCATTCTACATCATTTCCAATCAAAATTAGAAAATGTGAAAACAGCACCATTACAATACTTCCATTCGGAAGCAAAAAACAAGGCGAATATTTTGAAAAAAAAAAAGTGAAATCGGTCCACTAGTTTTCGAGATGTTACACATAATCGATTTTCATAAAAAATAGAATATCTCCGGAACTGCTGGGCCGATTCAGCCCAGTTTCAATCCAAACTGTCCTTGTCATAAGACGGAGATCCTGTCCAAATTTGAAGTTGATATCTCCATTTTTGCGAAGGCTAGAGAGCGTACAACGATTTTTGGAAAAAAACAGAAAAGTGGAAATATCTCAAAAACTTTGCAAGAACGGCTGTATAGGTTCTAATTGATCTGGATAGGGGACATCAAGGCGAATATTTTGAAAAAAAAAAGTGAAATCGGTCCACTAGTTGTCGAGATATGACACATAATCGATTTTCCTAAAACATGGAATATCTCCGGAACCACTGGGCTGATTCAGCCCAGTTTCAATCCCAACCGTCCTTGTCATAGGATGAAGATCCTGTCCAAATTTCAAGTTGATATCTCCATTTTTGCGAAGGCTAGAGAGCGTACAACAATTTTTTGAAAAAAACAGAAAAGTAGAAATATCTCAAAAATTTTGCAGGTACGGCCACATAGGTTCTGATTGATCTGGATAGGGGACATCAAGGCGAATATTTTGAAAAGAAAAAAGTGAAATCGGTCTACTAGTTTTCGAGATATTACACATAATCGATTTTCATAAAAAATGGAATATCTCCGGAACCACTGGGCCGATTTAGCCCAGTTTCAATCCCAACCGTCCTTGTCATAAGACAGAGATTCTATCCAAATTTCAAGTTGATATCTCCATTTTTGCGAAGGCTAGAGAGCGTACAACGATTTTGGGAAAAAAACAGAAAAGTGAAAATATCTCAAAAACTTTGCAGCAACGGCTCCATAGGTTTCGATTGATCCAGATAAAGGGAGTTGAGACGAACATTTTGAAAAAAAAAATGAAATTGGCCGATTATTTTTTGAGATATTTGCAAAAAAAATTGAAAAAGAAATGGCTTTTTCTCAGGAACTACGGGAGCGATCGAGCTGATCCTGCGCTCAGAGTTAGTCCTAGTTAGGACCTATAATCTGACAAAATTTCAAATTTTTTTGAATTTTTTTAGCCCTCTTAGTGTTGTATTTTCTAAAACCTAATTTCCAAAAAGTTGGGGGGGGGGGGGGGACAAACAGACATTGTCGCCAAACTTCGTATTTTTACATTTCAGACCATTCTACATCATTTCCAGGCAAAATTAGAAAATCGAAAAATTCAAGGATTGCAAAGCTTCCATTCGGAAGCAAAAACAGGAATTAGAAGGCTTCGCTACAGATATATCTCGTCATCTGTACCTAATTATAGTTTCATTTCAGATGGATACTCAAGTTTTTCAGAAATGCTTCCGTAAAAATGTTAGTTCCAGAAGACCTGTATGATCCTTTGGAGAAAGATAAATCAGGGGTGCTCGATGATCGACTAGAGAAGTAAATTTATTTATTAATTTATATTTTTTCAGTTGGATGTAGCGCTTTTCCATATAATGAATACAAAGGGGAATTACGTGCTTCTTGAATTTTATTTTCTATTAGTTGAAAATCGATTACTTCGTTCACCGCAGGCGGTTCAAAGATTTGAAAGTTCAAAGAGAGAAATGAATTGCAACATTCCATGAATGTGACTATTGTAACATGAGAATTTTTACTTTTGGTTTTCGTATTTCTTTCTAAACCTGTTTTCAAAGTTATTCCAACCACTTCCCAGAATTGTTTCGCTCTGACTAGTTTTAATACATTTTAGGCATGCGAATGTCTGATGGCAGGAAACTTATGAGATTTCAAACAAGTGGCCCATTGTACAGGTCTAAATCAAGTATAGTTTTATTGCTAAAAATTAGTAATTCGCTTCCGAATGGTAAATTGGAGAAGAAGATATACCAGCCAGGAAACCTTAATATGATCCGTAAATGTCCCAAATGTCTAACATGAGCTCCATATGCCCTGGTTAAACATATAACAGACGCCGACTAAATTAAAATTAAACTGGTTTAAACTTTCACTGAACCTTTACTAAACCTCGACGAAACCTTGGTTAAACCCTGTTTAATCTCCAACTAAATCCCGACTAAACCATCATTAAACCTCGTTTGAATGCATTTAAGGCTATTATTTCAAAGCAAATGATGCGATCGCCACTATCTTCGAACTCGAATAAGATAATATCGAAACGAATATTTTAAGCTATAATTGAAAATATTTCGACGATTCTTTTTTCAATGATCGTCAAAAACCTCAATTTGAAAAAAAGCTCACATGCATACATACATACATGCGGACATGATACAAAACAGTATATTCGAACTCCTGAGACCAAAATTAGGCATCGTCACATAAAAAAAAGGAAATTTCAAATTTGACGAATATAATGCTTCCATTGGGAACTAAAGTGTGCAATCTGTTCGACTATCGCTTTTGAACACGGCAAAACCAAAACGATCCATAAAAAAAATACAGTTATTCACCAATCGTTACATAGAGATTCCATAATTTTCTAGATATTGGCGTCAAGAAGTGGCGAAATCCAAAAAATATAACCGCCAACCGGACCTCGGGAAAACTTTATTTCGATGTTTCCTAGGGGAGTTCATGATCCTTAGACTTCTGCATACTGTAAATAAATGCCTCAGGTACTATCAAAAAGGCATATTCTAATGAAAAAAAAAAATAAAAAATATTACGTATATAATTGTGCATCCTCTGTATTAAATAATTGCTACATTTTTTAAAACACAGATTATGCACCCCAGTATTGATTGGAAACCTACTACTCTACTTCAAAGAAGATACAGATGTATCTTACAATACAGCACTGTTGTTTGCAGCCGTACTGTGCATGGCCAATTGCCTTTACGTTTCGTTGAAAAATCATGAATTGTTCGAAGGCTTCCATATTGGCGCAAAAATACGTACTGCTTTGTGTTCCGTCATTTATCGAAAAGCGTTGCGCTTAAGCACAACGGCGTTAAACGAAACGGCCTCAGGAAAAGTTGTCAATTTAATTAGCAATGATGTTGCTCGATTTGACATGGTTGTGATCTATCTCCATTATATGTGGTCAGCGCTGGTAGTAACTATAATTATTGGATATTTCTCATATGCTGAAACTGGATTCACCGGTTTGATTGGTTTCACAACGATATTAATTTTGGTTCCTGTTCAATGTAAATTTACATCTACTTAATTTCTCATTATAATTTATGATTAGTTGAAGTTAATTAATTTTTTTCCATTTTTTTTAGCATACAATGGAAAACTTTCCGCCAGATTCCGTTCTGAAACACTACTTAGAACAGATGAACGTGTTCAGCTAATGGATGAAATAATCTCTGGTGTTCAAGTTATCAAAATGTACGTGTGGGAGAGTGCATTCTGTTCGCTCATAGCATTCATCCGCAAAATGGAACTGAAAATGATTCGAAAGAAATATTGGCTTCACGCATATTTTATAACATGCTTTCTCTTCACTCCGCGAATGGGTCTCTACATTACTCTAATTAGTACGATACTTTTTGGTAAATCCTTATCTGCTGAGAAAGTATTCGTTTTCTTCTCATACTTTGTAATTCTCGCGGAAGTGATGGGTGCTACATTCGTGCGTGGCATTACGGAAATAGCTGACACCCTTATTGGAATTGGTCGTCTTCAAGAGTTTCTCATGTATGATGAGTTCGAAACTGGAGGAAATCGCTACTTATCAAGTGACATTTGTGAAATCAATGATATTCCGGATGAACCGCTACAATACCACAACCAAAAGGTTCATGTTATTGCAAGTGATTTGACTATTCCCATAAATCACAAGAAAGCATCTAACCATCACGATAACATTGTGGTTCAAATGAAAAATTTAACGGCAACCTGGGAATCCGAAAAAACGTATAGCATTTTGGAGAACGTGAATGTCGCTATTGAGAGAGGAAAAATGAATATTGTAATTGGTTCTGTAGGATCTGGTAAAAGCTCTCTCTATCCGCAATTTTAGGCGAAATCACAATCAAGAAAGGTGAGATAAATATCAAAGGTACAATTAGCTATACCAGCCAAGAAAGTTGGATATTTGGATCAACAGTACGGCAGAATATACTTTTTGGTCAACCATATGACCAGCAACGATATCAAGAGACAGTTAATGTGTGCGCTTTAGTACGTGATTTTGAACAATTTCCCGAAGGCGACCAAACACTTGTTGGAGAACATGGATGTTCATTATCTGGTGGCCAAAAAGCCAGAATCAATATGGCTAGAGCTGTGTATCGGAATGCAGACATTTACATTTTCGATGATCCACTGAGCGCTGTGGATACACATGTAAGCAATCATTTATTTAAGGAATGTTTTGAAAAATATTTAATGAAAAAAACTAGAATTTTGGTGACTCATCAACTGCAATACGTCAAAGCAGCAGATTCAATTTTATTGATAGAACAGAACAAATTGAGACAATTCCAAAGCTTCAGTAATTTCATGGAGAACTGTCCGGCTTATTACAAATTGCTCGCCTCAGGGTCAATGGACCAGAATACTGGTGATTCTATGGCGACTAAGGAAATTGAGTTGGAAAAAGAATCTATGGGGAATAATCAACATCCGAACAGGCCCGTCGATCGAGGCAGCGTACAGAGAATTCATAATTGCAACCTCAATGATAATTTAGAAGATACATCTGGAGGTATCGTCAAAGGTTCGATCATCGCACATTATTTTAAATCCGGTGGCAACTGGTGCTTTATAATCAGCGTCGGAATATTCTGTATATTAAGCCAATGTACGCTAACTATAAATGATATGTATTTCCCTGCAATGATGACACCTGAAGAGAAACGTTACCATGCGTATAAGGTAGAAAAATTAGGGAATTCCACTGAAGATCCTACAACTCTCGAGGATTTTCCGATTGAACCAGCATATAAATACATTTATATTTATACAGTCATTGTCTTATCAATATTTGTCATTGGTATAACGCAATCAATGCTTTTCTATCAGTTATGTATGAATGCGAGTCAACGTCTACATGACAAAGCATTTGCATCGGTCATCCGAACTGGAATGGAGTTCTTCGATAAAACTCCAAGTCGTCGTATTTTAAATAGATTTTCAAAAGATATTAATGCTATTGACGAACTCTTACCAAAAACTTTGCACGATGCCGAGCTCATCATACTGATTGCTTTGGGAGGATTCCTCATTGTATGTATTGTAAATCCGTTCTTTATCATTCCACTCGCTGTTCTAGCCGTTGGTGCTTCTTGGCTAATGAGAATATATGCTAAAATAGCAGTGAATGTAAAGAGACTTGAGGGAGTTCTGAAGTCACCAGTGTTTACGTACCTAAATACAACATTGACAGGATTGATCACTATTAGGGCATATGGAACACAGAAAATATTGAAGCATGAGTTCGATACCATTCAAGACAATCATAGCTCAGCCTGGTACATGTTTGTCGTTACTAATGCTGCTTTTGGATTTTATCTCGATACTTTTTGTTGTACATTTATCACAATTGTTACCTTCAGCTTGTTGATAGTCAGTGGTTATTCAAGATCTGAAGTAGGTCTTGCAGTTACTGTTATAATTTCTATGACTGCTTGGATCCGATGGGGAATGCGCCAGTCCGCTGAAGTTGTCAATCAGATGACCTGTGTTGAGAGAGTTCTAGAGTATACGTCGATGGCGCCTGAAGATAATTTATGCATGGATGAAAAAATAGGGAATATGAATGATTTATTCAAAGGTAATCGTAAACCTTCCATCAATTCACATATTTCTTCGTCACAGAATTGGCCCCAGGCTGGGCGCATATACTTCAAAAATGTATTTATGAGATATGATGAAAACGAACGACCAGTGCTAAACGGACTCAATGCAGTGATAGAGCCAAAAGATAAAGTGGGTATTGTTGGACGCTCTGGGGCTGGAAAATCATCTCTCATTTCCGCACTATTTCGGTTAAGAAATGTAGAAGGCAGCATTGAAATTGACGGCCGTAATACAGAATAGATTTCTTTAAAAAGTCTCAGAAAACACATTTCGATTATTCCCCAAAATCCAGTCCTTTTTTCTGGAACACTAAGGAAAAATCTTGATCCTTTCAATGCATACACCGATGATGCACTTTGGGCTGTATTGAAAGAAGTGGAGATGAAAGATACTGTTATTACTAACGGAATTCATGGTTTAGATAATGAAGTTCTCCAGCGAGGAGCGAATTATAGTGTGGGACAGGAACAACTAATTTGCTTGGCAAGAGCGATCTTGAGTAATAATAAGATTCTTATCTTAGATGAAGTGACTGCTAATGTTGATCCACATACTGATGAACTCATTCAGCGAACCATTAGGACAAAATTTGCATCATGTACTGTATTGACAGTAGCTCACCGTTTGAATACAATCATGGATAGCGACAAAGTGCTCGTCATGGAACAAGGTCGAATAATGGTAATTTTCATTATCTTCTTCCTTCAGTATTTAATAGTGTAACTTGACGATTATTCATTCGAGTTCGTTTGATATGAAGGATAAATAAATGATTTTCTTTTGTTTTAGGAGTTTGATCACCCTTATATTCTACTCCAGAATGAAAATGGACATTTCTTTTCTCTGGTTAAGGAAACTGGTCCGGAAATGTACACCCAGTTGTACAGTACAGCTCAACAAATATATAATGAAAAAAATGTGAAATTACATGTAATTTATAGTGAGTACTCTTTATGGAGACAGTCAATAGTAGTGTAAGCAGCTTGAGATAAATCTATATTTTTCGAATTCAGCACATGGTAGAAAATGTAACAGGAGGGAAGAAGTTTATATCATTCACTTGAAATTTTCCCAGTATGGACAAACACTCGCGTTACACTCTCTCTCAATGCCTCAAACTAGCTATCCTAAACAAAGGATAGCTAAACAAAGAATAGTGATATCCTTTGTTCCCAGGGATGGATCGTTCGTGCTCTTGAAAAAGTAAAGGTTTTGTCATTTGGGGAGTATGGAAATATGTTAAAAAAGTGTGATGGAGACAATATCAAATGATTCTTCTGACCGTTTGTTCTCATAATTTGTGGATTGTTTTCGGGAATTATTTTCGGTCAAATTTCAGAAAGAAGAGTAATAGTACGTAAAAACTCTACTATAGTCACTATATAGTTTTCATGGCCCGCAACTCTAGTTGAAACAACAATGCTCGTCCCCTCTGCTTAGGTCCTTCTACGTAGGACATGAGGCGCGATAAAATGGCTAACTTCCGAAGCCTTAGGACCCACGTGTTTTGTTTGCTACTTAAAACTGAGTTCTGCATCGATCATCATTACCAGGCATCGCGACAATGCCTGAGAAATAAGTTCGTAGTCCCCGACTTGCAGCGTAAAAGAGAGCTAGAAAAAATGTACGCATTTTCTCCATTTTCTGGCGATAACTATTCGTGTTTTAGGTTCTAGAGAGCATTTATAATAATTTTCAAATAGTTCGCCATTTGTAATACATTAAAATTGTGGATATTATCCACCGAAAAGATAGAAAAAGGGAGCTAAGAGAGCTTAAATAATTTTATTATTGTGGATTCCTAACATAAACATTGAAGATAATTGAAAAAGTAGCGCCCCAATGCTCAACCGGAATTCCATAAATCACTAACGACAAAAGAGAGCCTAAAACGCATGAAGAGCAAATTACGGGCAACCGCTGGCTGGTGCTCGGTTGTCAAGCTTCGGCATGCCAATGATCGGCCCAAAGCTGGGCCAAATGTGTCGACTAAGGCTCGGTTACTCCCCTCTCCCCCGAGACTCAAGCCCTGGTCCTCAAGGATGGCCAAATCTCGGAC